CGAAGGCCCGTTTGTTTCGCTCCGGCACCGAAGAGCAATATCCGATAATTTCAAAACTGAATCGGTACATCCCTCATAGACACACGGACGAACACACACATACACACAGACATATATGCTCAGTCACACGCATATTTACACACACACGCACAAACAGGAGACAGGCAAGAGCACACACACACACACTGACACACACACACACACACACACACACACACACACACACACACACACACACACACACACACACATATATATTATTACTATCTCTCTGTGTGCGTGTGTGCGTTCCTGTCAGTGTCTGCATTTGTGCATGTATGTGCGTGTGTATGTTAGTATCTGTGTCCGCACAAGGAGTGTCCCCAAGCTGTTGTAGTTGTTCATGAGATATTGGTGGCGATTTGAGTGCATTAGGAACACACACACACACACGGGGGATGGAGTCCCGAGAAATAAAATTGGAGCGGTGGATCCATCTTGTCTCGGAGGAAAGGAAAAAGAGGGAAGAGAACGGAGGTGGAGGGAAGGAGGGAGGGAAGAGAGCGAATGGGGAGAAGAAGGAGAAGAAAGTAGAAGGAAAATGGGGAAAGGGAAATGAAGAGAGAGAAGGAGGTTTGAGAGAGTGAGTTGGAAATGAAGAGCAAGGCGGAGACGGAAAAAGAGTAGAGATTGAGAGAGAAGGAGAGGAAGGCAGAAGAGAAGAGAGCGGTGGTGAAGGAGAGAAAAAAAGAAAGAGAAAGCGGACGGGAAGGATAGAAGAAAAAAAGAGAAAAGAAAGGCGAAAAAGAAATATATACTATACATACGTCTCGTTTCTTTGCGTGAAAGGATAACTTTTTTCCTTTCCCTTTTTTATTCCATCTTCCTCTCTCTCTCTCTCTTTTCCCCCCCTCTCTTTTTTGTGATTTAGTGCCGGGGTCTCTTTCCATTTACGGCTTCTTGCAGGTCTTACGAAATCGGAGGCTCACATCCGGGATCCTCGCGCCATGACGTCATCGTAAAGGCCGTTGTTTATTTACGATTTCATTTGAAGAAGTCCTTTGGGCGGGTCCTCTTTGGCCGGCCGGCTCGGGGGGCGGCGGCGGAGGGACACTGGCCTCAGTTTGCCCGTTTGGTGGCGTTAAGATCACTGTTTTTTTCTCTTTTTTATTATTATTATTATAAGGATGATATCAATGATAATAATTACTATTATTGTTGTTGTTGTTGATATTATTATTATCATTATTAAAAAATATACATTATTACTCTTCGTATTAGTAGTAGTAGTAGTAGTAGTAGTAGAATTAGTATTATTACTATTACTATTATATTATCATTATTATTATTATTATTATTATTATTATTATTATTACTATTATTATTATTATCATCATCATCATGATTATTATTATTATTATTATTATTATTATTATTATCATTATTATTAGCATTACTATTATTGTTATCATGTTAATTATTACCACTGTTATTCTCGTTGTTGTTGTTTTAATCTTATTACTGTATTTATCGTGCCAGTAACTTCTTTCTCTTCTTTTTTTCTTTCTTTCCGTTTCCCCATTCTCCCTCTGACCTCCCAGACCTTAATTTTATCATCTTGCTCATCTCGTAACTGCCCCCCTCCTCTTCTCCCCCTTCTCTCCTCACCTAAATTCCCCCCACGACAATTTCTCCCCTTACTCACCTACGACTAACCACCTCTGTCTCCTCATTCACTCCCCTCCCCTCTCCTCTCCTCTCCTACCCTACAACCCCCCTAGTCCCATGCATTACCAACTGCCCTTAACTCCCCGCTACCTTCCATTCCCCTCTCCCTTCCATTTCCCTCCCGTCTTCCCTCCTCTCCCCCTTCCCGTCTCCCCTACACTCCCCTCTCCACTCCATCCACCTGTCCCCCCCTCCCCCCGCGACGCCGGGCAGTTTAGCCCGCGCGTCCCGGGAGGAAATATGACGGCCTCTCTTTCTCGTGACGTATTGTGACTCCATCGGACACTTTTGTGACTGTAATGGTTTCGGATAACTCGGGGATGGAAGCTCTCCATTGTAGGGAAGGGAATTTACGCCGCGTCGCCAGCCAAATGCTATTTCTGGACCTCGTCGCGGCCTTCTCCAGGGGCTGCGAGCCAATCCCTGGGCGTTCCCTGCGCCTCCAAGGGAAAGCGACCAACCGCGGTCTTCTTTCCCTTGGTGTGGGATGCAGCTCGCTCCTTCAACTCTAAGTGTGATCTGCTACCTTTACCCTCTGTCCATGATGTGTGATCTGCCGTTTGCTTCCAACCCTTATACGTGGTCTTCCTCATTCCTTCAACAAAAATGGGAATTCTCATTCCTTCAAACAAAAATCGAAAAGAAAAGTTCTACCTCGTTCCTTAAACCAAAAACTGTTACCTACCTTATTTTTCCAGCCGTCCCTCCAGCCCTAGTATGTGATGTGGCTCGCCACTCAAACGCCAGTAGGTAATAAACCTTACTATTTGAACCCCGGTATATAATCGAAGTCATTCCAGCAACCTCATTCCGCTCACCCCCCTCTTCCCCTTACCCTCAGGTCCTCCCTCCTCCCCTTACCCTTAAGATCGTTTCTCTTCTACCCCTCTTTTTTGTCTACTATTTATCCCTTTCCCTGAGCCAATTACCCCTATTGTCCCTCTTCCACTCCCCCTCCCTTCCCCTCCTCCACTCTCTGAGCCCCATCCACTGCCCACAGTCGCTTCCTCAGAGCCCCCCCTCCCGCCCACAGCCTCCTCCACCCCCTCCTGGAGCCGGCGCCTCCAGAACATCCTTCCTCCCCCTCCTCACCTTCCCAGACCCTACACCCTTCTCCTCACCCCTCTCCCCCCAGAACCCCCACCCTTCCGGGCCCTCTGCACTCCCCCTCTTATCTCTCTTAGAGCTTCCTTCCTCCCCCTTTCCCAGAGCCTCCACCCTCCCCCCCTCCCATGTCCATCTTGTACGAGAGGTCATGCTCCGCGATATGCTGTATTGCGCCAGATTACGAGAGTGATGCTGCGATGCTGATATCCGCTTCTTGAGTTTTAGGGGGGGGGGGAGATGAGATGAGTTTTGGGGGGCTTAAGGTACGGCAACGGGGAGCTAATGGGTTATGATATCGTCGGGGTGATGAGGGAGGGCGTTGTCGTGATTCACTGGTTTGTTTGGTTTGGTTCTCTGTGCTTTTATTGTTCTTATTGCGTTGTTGTTTGTTGTGGTGTGAAATTGCCATATATACAGATACATGTGGGAACATAGGATCACAAACACACACCATGCATTCACACACACACACACACACACACACACACACACACACACACACACACACACACACACACACACACACACACACACACACACACACACACACACACACATACACACACACATACACATACACATATACACACATACACACACAAATGCGTGACATACATTTCCCTCGCATCAGCATATAATTCACTACATTTCGATTTTAGTTCTATTTGGTGTTGAAAGACACAGCGCTGCCCTCTTCTTCTATTCTCGGCCTACAAGAGCGACCGTCCGAAAAGGAGTTAGTCTTTCAAAGCTTTCTTAAATCTCTTTAGTTGCGACGTTTTGGGGTTATATAGGGCAGAGGGGGGGAAAGGAAGAGGGAGGTGAATATTTTATTAGGAAAGACTGTTATCTCTGAGGCTCTTTCGGAGAACATTATTTTCCCTCCCAATCTTAAATGATGATTCTTTTCTGTAGTAAAACTTTTTCCACGATAAAACTCTGTATTTTAGTGACCTTAAACCTTGTCCTTGTCGAGTAAAACTTTTGTTTGTTGCAAGTGGAAAGGCAGACCATATCAGCATAACAGATTCTTCGGTTCATCTTAAATATTTTGCAGATTTATCGCACACACATATAACACACACACACACACACACACACACACACACACACACACACACACACACACACACACACACACACACATACACACACACACACACACACATACACACACACACACACACACACACACACACACACACACACACACACACACACACACACACACACACACACACAAGCGCGTTCATGAATGTGTTATCCTGAATTTTTAACACTCGGGCTTATCGGAAGAAAATCTAGAATCGGGATTTAATTGCATATATTTTTTTTAGATTTTAAGTTGAATGTTGAGCTGACCAGTTCTTCCTCCACCCCCCCCCCCCTTCCCCCTCCTCCCTCAGTCATTTCCCCTTCCTTTTCCCCTTTTTCCTTCCAGCCTATTTTTCTACGTCTGCTAAAGTTTATCCTTTTTTTATGAAAAGGGGGTAGTCGTTTATGTGTTTTGTTTAGATTTCTTCCTTTTCCCCTTCTCTTTGGGTCACTTTCTCTTCTTTATTTTTGTTTTCTCCCTCTTTTATCCTCTTCTTATTTTCTCCCTCTACCTCCGAATCTTCATCCTTTAATCCTTCTTTTTCCATTTCTCCTCTTTATGTTCTCTTCTTCTTCCTCTTTATTCTCTGCCTCTTCTTTTTCCTTTACATCTTCCTCGTCATTTCTCCTTTCCTCGTGTTCTCTTTCCTACTCTTCTCCCCCTTTTCTTCTTCTTCCCCTATACCCTATACCTCTTCATACCCGTATAGAGTATATCCACTTTAACAAAGAAACCCAAAGGAGAGTAAACTTGTATCCTGTCTGCGGGGACGGTGGCTTGTCCTACGCCCGAGTCCCGCGTTCGTCCTCCTCTCCTGAAGCTGTTTGGTCGACTGGAATTTTTGAGTGAAAGTCCTGGTCGTAGTTAGGTTCGATAAATGGTTGCTGTTTTTTTTTATGGTTGTCTCTCTCTAGGAAGTGGAGTTATCTCTTTTTTTCCTATGTGTTTCTGAGTGTGTTTGTGTTTCCCTTTTTCCTCCCTCCCTCCTTATCACTACATCCCTCCCCCCTTCGTCTCACTCGCTTCCTCTCCGCCTTTTCCTTATCTAAAACGAAAAAATAAATAACTGTCTCCCTTATTTCTCCCGCAG